ACCACAGTGGTTATTACATCACCTACTGTAGATGTAGCTAATGGCATAGCTTATTCCCCTACAGGAAGGGAAATATGCTGTAGCCTGATTCCCATGTTTCTATTACTGTGTCCACACTAGGGTAGTGCACTGCTTTGATTATACCGCTGTAGTTAGGCAAGCCCTAGCACTAGACTAGGTATTGTCTACACTCAATCAAATACAAGATGGGCACTGCCTGGTGAGAAGTAGCGCTGGCTAATGAATAAAGAAGGGGACTGGAGCCCTATACTCAAATCCCAGCTCTGTCTTTGACTTGTATAACCAAGTGGGAAGTCACTTCTGATCCACTGTCTTTCACAGTAGCTAGACTAATGGGCTACGTCTAGACTGGCATGATTTTCTGGAAATGCTTTTAACAGAAAAGTTTTCCGTTAAAAGCATTTTCGGAACAGAGTGTCTAGATTGGCACGGACGCTTTTCCGCATCTGTGCCAATCTAGATGCGCTTTTCAGCAAAAAAAGCCCCGATCGCCGTTTTTCAGTCGGGGCTTTTTTGCGGAAAACAAATCTGAGCTGTCTACGCTGGCCCCTTTGCGTTAAAGGACTTTTACCCAAACGGGAGCAGCATAGTATTTCCGCAAGAACACTGACAATCTTACATGAGATCCTCAGTGTTTTTGCGGAAATTCAAGTGGCCAGTGTAGGCAGCTGGCAAGTTTTTCTGGAAAAGCGGCTGATTTTCCAGAAAAACTGGCCCGTCTAGACACAGCCATGGGCTCTTAACCTCCTTGTAGCATAAGGTACAGTGTAGGAGTTTAGTTCTTAAATACACCCAGAATGGCTCCCACTTCTGAAGTACCATCAAATAAACACATGACAGGCCACCCTTTACTACCTTGTCCGCATTCCTTCCCTCCTACTGCCCAAGGTAAGGCACGGACAACTATTTCCCTCTTGTCCACTAATGGGAGGTAGAAGTGATAGTGCCAAGACTTTTAGCATCTCACGGAGTTCCCCTGCTTTTTAAAAAACATTTACCAGGCTTTACAAGAGCACGCTGCTCTTTCTATTTGCATTTGATTACCTGGAAAGGTAATTTAGCAGCCTGCAGCTGGAACTGAGGAATGGTTTGAGTAAAAACTGGGTAGAGCCCTTTGTTGTAGACTCCCATTTAACACTGGCAGAGCCTGCCTTGAGGTGTACTGCTGGAGCTGTCGGTAAAGGGCCCTCATTCAGCAAAATGCTCACGAACATGCTTAAGGTGAAGTGGGGCAGCACTGCTAAATAAGGACTTCAGTCTAGAAATTCAAAATCATGAGTCTCAATTTTGATAGTTGCCTTTTGAAACTGTTTCAATCTGCCTGGAAGAAAAGCTAGTTCTCTAGGCAGAAGGAGCTCTAATCCAGAACTGATTACGTATAGTCTGCCTCTAGTCTAGGTACAGGGCATCCCTGCTATCCATCCAAGATACAGTCCAAAAGAGTCAATGTAAAGCAGGGAATTTCTTCCCAAGGCTGACTTCCATTTGCACTAAATGGTCTTTTGTCATGCAAAAAAAGTGAGGAATGGGAGGACTTAAGGCAACAATGATGGTTAGTGTGGAACCCATGTATACTAGGACCACCCTGTATGTCTGCTGTGGCAGGGAAATTAGTTACAACTCACTGTTGCCTAACCTGGTCCCAGATTCTGAATTGCAGTGAATTAGCATCAATCCCCTGAGTTTCAAGAGGGCGATGCCCTTTGACATCTGCTAATCTGGCCTGTAGTTCCTCTTAGAACAAAAATGTGGGTTTGAATGGAAGGGTTTCTTGAACAGTCATGATAGTTAGAGGAGGTAAACAGGGAAGGGGTAGGGGCTGTTTGTGATGGAGTCAATCTAACTTTATCCTCTTAAAAAGCACAGGAGCAGAAATCATGAAACTCTCTAGTTACTGAGGGAGAAAATCTTGCCCTCTCTTCAGGAAAAGTAGTGGGAGAACACTTGGAAAAAACAATTTAGTGAAGCTTGTGTGAAATCAAGCAGGAGTGACTGTAATTAACTAACCACGGTGTGGTTCTCTGAAAAATATTCCTACTTGGGCCTCTGTAAAGCATGGAAAGAAATTACATCTGAACCCTGGCCGCAGCCTAATGCAAGAAGTTTATCTTCTTGGCTTCTTCGCTACCAGCGAAGCAATGAGGAAGAGATTAGTATGTAGGCACAGGCTGTGTTTGTTCTGGAGGTTAGCGAGAATTACTCCTATGCCTTCAGAAGAGTAGCTGAGTTTAGTCTGTAACTGGAAAAACAAACAGTGAATAGTCTTGTAGCACCTGAGAGACTAACAAAACATGTAGATGGTGTCATGAGCCACTCTACCTCCTGGGAGGGGCAGGGCTGTAGCAGCTGTGAAGTCTTCATTTCCAAGGGCTACTTGGTGACTGCGATTGTGTGGGGTTATACAGCCCCCTCATGGCTGAAACAGTGCTACTGATTAGCCAAAGCAAAATGCAGGACAATGTAGCACTTTAAAGACTAACAAGATGGTTTATTAGGTGATGAGCTTTCGTGGGCCAGACCCACTTCCTCAGATCAAATAGTGGAAGAAAATAGTCACAACCATATATACCAAAGGATACAATTAAAAAAAATGAACAGAACAGGAGGGGGATCCGGGGGGGGGGGGGGGGGAAGGAAAGTGTCTGTGAATTGATATTAGAGGTGGGGAGAGTGGGATGTCTGTGAGCTAATGGTATTAGAGGTGATAATTGGGGAAGCTATCTTGGTAATGGGTAAGATAGTTTGAGTGTTTGAGTACATAGGCAAGTAGGAAGCTAGCTGGCAGACAGTTTCATTTATCCTGGCCCCAGGAGCAGTTCATTTACATAATTAAAAAAAGCTTTCCTCCCTCCCTGCTGTAGCAAAGATCTAATCTTTTTAGTGCTATGGTGAGCTAGGATGCTAGAAGTAATGCCTTCCTCTGCTTTTCGTTGTAGAACGTACCATGAACCAGGTTTCTAAGCCGAAGAGACAAGGATGACGAACAGAAGTACTGGGACTAGAATCACAAACTGTTCCAGGAACTGTACCTGTTGTGTGCCATCCAGCTAGTTAAAAAACCCTCCCTTCTTCCTTTAAAAAAAAATTGAAGGTTGAGTCCCCCTCACCACCTCTGGCAGTCAAGCTCTAATAGCTAAGTGCCCTCTTTCCCCTCCCATTCCTCCATCAAACCTGGGAAGGTAGAGCACATGCAGACTCAGATATATGGGATCATGCTGCAGCTAGCTCCTTGTACTATTAATGTGAATAAGTGGCAGCTGCTATAACCCTAGTGAACAGACTCACCCTCTGTTGCTTTACAACAGCTCAAAACAATATAGGCTGTGACCACGCAGCCTCTTGTATGGAGCTGAAGCATGGTGGGCCTTGAGGGGCAGCCAGTACTGGCCCATGGCAGGAGGCAGCAGCAGCCACCAACTGGCCTATTGCTGTACCACGGGGAGTGCTAGGAGCTCAGCTGGTTTGAAGTTGTAGGGATCTAAGATTGGCAGCCCCTTAGCTGGAGCCTCCCTGCATGTCTGCATAAACTGCTGCATGCGAACAGCAGTCAAACCACTGCTAAACTTGGAGTGTGGGGCAAGGGTCAGCCCCCGAAGCTTGGACCCACTCTGAAGAGAAAGCAGCCCAGTTACCCCCATCAACTCCTGCTACTGAGCCAGGTATGCTTCTAGCCCAGCTGAGAGGCCCACCCTCACACCTTAGCCACCTTACCCGGCTTCTGCAGTAAACTGTAAGAGGGACTTGGGTTGTCAATGAAGCTCTTCAGCTGAAGCACAGACCAGCTCCTCAGACACCTGTAGCAACAGTGCCCTATACAGTGTGTTCTACACCTTGTCTAGAAGCACTCTGCTGCAGCAAGGGAGAAGCAAACCTCTTACATCCAAGCTGCGGGAAAGTCCAGCCTCAGTAAATATTCTTCACCTTTTACTACGGTCAGCCCAAGGAAGGTAAGTCAGTCGCACGGCCCTAAGAGGAGCTAGGAATAGGACACAAGAGGCCTTGCCCCACTGCCCTGCCCCTTACAGCTTGCATTAAAAAGCTTAGGTTACACCCTTAATGCCTAGTTGTCCTAGGACATTTGTTTCTTCATGCTGGGAAGGGCACAGCTACTGCTGAGTGGGTGTCAGACTCCACAGTAGTGAGCTCTTCAGGTAATAAAAGCATTTAAGGTGGAGTGGGGGATGGGGGAACCTTCCCAGTTTTCCTGTAGCTCCCAGAATCCCCTTTACAACTCAGGAACCGTAAAACCCGAGACAGATTGTTCCAGCAGCACCTCCTGTGCCCGGCCTCAGACCTAGAATATTTGCAAGCTCTGGTGCCAGCAATTCCATATTCAGGGGGTTGTGGCATGGAAAGCAGTGGCTGGGGTCTGGTTTAGACCAAAGTACAAGGTAAAGGCTCTTGCACAGCGCCTGGAATGGCAGGAGAATAGCTTCCTCCAACTTCATCTCAGTGCCTGCAAAGCTGCCACCGCCCCCTCTACTGGGTGGTTGCTCAGGAGGGATACGGTCTAGGTCAGGACTTCGACCCATTTGGGAGTGTGGCTACCAACTCTTGCTGGGGCTGTACTGGCAACTTGTGCTTTCTAAAGTAACAGGCCTTCTCTCTACTGCATCTAAACAGACCAGAAGCAGATTTGCGAGTCTGTTTGGTAGCTAGTAAGGCCCCTGCTGTGAAAAGTGACTTGTTAGTATCACACTTCATAGCAGACTTACTCAGCCCCAATGAGCCCAAGACAGGGCCCAGCTCTGTAGCAGGTTGGCAGAGACCTTAGCCATCTTAGCCATCTATCTGCTTTAGAAACAAAGGGGAGAGGGCCTAAGCACCAATGCACTTACCTTCGGAAGGGGTGTGTGTGAATGGCCATGGGATGGGGATAGTCACACCCCATGACCATTAAGGAGTAATTGGACAGGTGGGAAGAATGGAAATAAGCCAAAACTGAACTGTCCTCTGAAACAAATAAAAACCCAGGGAGGCATGTTGGATGAGGCTTTATTTTTCCAAAAAGTTGGCTGCCCATGTATTTAGATAAAATATAAATACAGATACGTGTATTAAAATACCTCTCCAACACCAGCAATGGCCTGCCGCCAGCTGCTAGAAGAACGTGCATTTCATATAGCCACTGCGGCTCCCTTTGCCTAAATCCTTCACCGTGTTGTGAAATGCCAGCCAGTTGCAGCAGCTGACCACAGGCTTAAAACAAGAAGGTGACAGACCATCCTCCCCTCCCCCATCAATTTCTCATTCTTGCCAGTGATGTCCGACATGGAGGGCAGCCTTCTGGAGGGGAGGAAGGAAAGTGGAATCCAATTCAGCTAGTTTTTTTTAAAAAGTGAGATGTGACTGATCCAGGTAGAGAAGTTTGACAATAATTTAGTCCCTTGTGAGTCATCACTACAAGCAGGTGAGCTCCACCAGGAAAGTCCTCTGCCTGGTGGCGAGGCATCTTCCGCAGAAAGCCGCATTCCCACTTACATCCCTTTCTGTAAGCCGGACGGTTACCATAGTACGAGTGTCTCAGTCCTTAACGTATTTATCATGATGCCCATGTGAGGTAAGTGGGAGGCACCCAAGAACAGGTCTAGGAACCCAATGGCAACTCACGGTGCCTTAGTGTGAAGCCAGAGTTCTCACCAGTATCCCATCCTTCTTGCTTTGGGACAATTCCTTGGTCAGCTGTCCCAGGGTTCGTCTTGCTTGCCAGGTGGGACCTCTCCCTGTTCAGATGAGCGAGGCCTGCGATAAGCAAGGAACTGGAAGGAAATCTGAGAAGGCGATAAGGCTTATTTCCTTTACAGCCGGTCCTCCCTACATAGGAGAAGCGAGGTAGCGCTGTCCAAGGGTGTGTCTAGCCAGCACCCTTCTGTCGGAATAAGCTACAATAAGGCTTATTTCCTTTACAGACGGTCCTACCTACATAGGAGAAGCGAGATAGCGCTGTCCAAGGGTGTGTCTAGCCCGCACCCTTCTGTCGGAATAAGCTACGCACTTTGTGCAATGCAATTTCAGAAGCTTATCCCCAGTCTAGGTCGAAAGAGTTATTTTGATGTTTGGGGCTGTGTAGACTGTGCCAAATTTCAAAATAAGGCACTATTCCGAGAATTCCCTTAAGCCTCATGGAACGAGGGTTACTTGGACGCCGGAATATTTTGGGAAATTGTAGGCGCATTTAAAGACAGTGTTGCTGTTTTGGGATACTTCCAATATCCCAAAATAGTGCCGCAGTCAAGACGTACCCTAAGAGAGAGAGTTTATTGCTTGGGGAAATAGAGTTCAGTTGGTTCTCTCTCTGCCAACAGGTTACCACTGTTAGAGGGGAGATCATCACGATCTCCTTTGTAAAGCACGTGGAGAGCTACGGATAAGAGTTATGTATTAGGGTAGCAACCAGAGGCGCCAAGAAGGATGACGGAACCTTCATGTACTAAGCATCTACTGCTCCAACACTTATTACTGTAACCCGAAGGGGAAGACTTCAGCCACGAAACATTGCTTGGCTCTGTAACCGCCTCAGGCAAAATCTGTCTCTGAACAGCCCTGCCCACCTGCCATCCCTGAAGACACCAGCGTTCTACGGGCCATTTCTGCAGCACATTAGAACTCTCCAGACTCCTTGTGGTAGCGCGGCAGCAGGGCAGGGGGAAGCATCACCAGAAGAGGATACAATCACATCAAGAGACAGGACGCCCAGGCTGCCAATCAGCCAGGGGAGGTGATGAAGGACGTAGCTGCCTTCAGCCTGCCCTGGATCCGGGTTCTTCAGCAGCACGCTTATTCCATATAGCAGGTTACCCAGCATCACCAAAGCGAAGAGGAGGTAGGAGACGCCAGTGGTCGATTTCCTCTTGAACTGAAAGAAGAAGCCACATTAGAAGGGGCAGGAGAATGAAGACTTCCTTGCTAGTGGAAATACTTTAGACCAGTGGTCTCCAGCCTTTTTACACCCAAGATCACTTTTTAAATGACAGACCAAGCCAAGATCTACCGCTCCGCCCCTTCCTTGAAGCCCCGCCCTCTCTTCTCCTCCTCTCCATCACTTGCTATCCCCAATCTGCTACTTAAAAAAAAAAACTCCCACCATTCCTCGCAGCTACTCTCCTGTGCTATTTCTTGGCGAGTAGCTGCTCCTCAAATGAGGAAGTCTAATGTAAATGTACTGCGCAGGCGCACAGTTTAAAGAGGGCTCAAGAGCTACTCTTAGAGCCTCCGAGATCTACCGGTAGATCGCGATCTACTGGTTGGTGACCACAGCTTTAGAGCCATCGGGCATGGATTCCCAGGCAACATGCAAAGGGAGGAGGGTCTAGAAGCCGACTAAGCTTATTGAATTCTGGTATCCACTGTCTGAAGGACAAGCTTTTTTGACACTGTTGGTGCTCTCATGCTCTGGTCACTTGATCATGCCCGGCTGTGCTCCTAGTAGAGGGAAAGTTGAAATGCGGATGGTCTCCCGCAGAACATCTGCATCTTTGATCACCATCCCTCCCCACACCAATATCTACCTTAGCAGGAGTCCTAAATGAGCCAGTGGGCTCAATACAAACATCCTTTCAGCCCCAGTTGTAAAATACTGAGCAGAATTCGAGTCCTGCCTTCACAATGGGATATTTATATTTTAACCTGAGCAGGAGACACAGCTGCTGCATGGAACTCAGCAGTGAATCTGGACCCAATGTGAAGACTCAGAGATGGCCTCTGGAGGGTTCTGACAACAGCTGGTTAGTATCTTGGAGCATTCCCCCCTCCCACCCTGCGTTTTACATCAGCACCCCTTAAAGACACCCTACACCCAGCTCCAGAGTCTCAGCCGAAAGGGAGCCCCTTTCGCTTCCCCCAGGAGTTAAGAGCTCTGCTTGCGAGTTGGTTCCTATCCCCACCTTCAGTGGGGTCACTTACATTAGTGTAGATCTGGGGCAGTCGGGAGAACAGATACAGCAAGGAGGCGATGGAGCCGATGGTGAAGCCGATGATTTCCTTCTTGGTGAAAGACTGCAGGGCAAGACATAGAAAAACCAGCTGTGATGTGACACCTGTGGTCTTGGATTTACAGGCATCCCGTGGCAGAGAGGCCACCTGACTGACCAAACCCTGTTGTCTTTCCATTTGGTCCGTAGTTCTTGAGTTGCCTGGCTAGCTATTGATTGCAACTGTCCCATGACAAGGTTACCAGGGCCCCTTTCTATGGGACAGTGCCACTGCCCACTGCTTTGTCGTCTTCCCCACAAATCCTCAGCCTCTCCCCAACCCCACGTAGAGAGAGGGTCTCACCCCATATCCGGCCTCCTCCACTGGAGCCGACAGCAGACTCCTCCCTCTAAAGGTCACTGGTTCAATTGCGGCGCCAGCGCTGCCCAGGGCGGAGGTTGCTGACACCGTTCCCAGAAAAACGAAGGCAAAGGCTGCGTTAATCGGTGTAAACACTGGAAGAGAAAGCGGAGGGGAGTTGCAAAGTGCTGCCACAGAAAGAGAAAAAGCGTCCATGGCACTGCACGAAGCAACCTGGATTACACTTCAACCTGTGTCCCACCTCAAGCTGTGTCCCACCACCTCCAGAAGAACCAGGGCCAACGCCCTCCCCCAGAAGAGGGAGGAGGCGCCAGTTCCACAGTAGCAGGGGGGTTCAGATGTCTCTGCAAAGCCAGCCTTCCATAACCAAGTGCCATGCCTCACAGGTTAGCACGGAGGTAGGGGCTGCATAGTGCATGTGGCAGATATTTAAATGCCTCACAGGTGAGCAGCTCCTGCTTCCGGTGGAGGGATTTTATTTATCCAACGTTAGAGCATAAAGATCCCTCCTTTTGCCAGGACAGGACCTCCTAAGTGAAGGAAGAGGAAAACCTGAAGAATAAAAGGAAATCTAAACACAACCACAACTACATTCGGTTTCGTTATTGGTAAGTCTACACTGAATCCAGAAGGCGGAGCTTCCAGCTTGACAAGAGACCCTCCTACTAGCTCCGACTGAGCCAAGATGCTGGAAACAGAAGTGCAGCAGACCAAGGAAACCACCCCAACTAGGGTCCTGTCAAACCCCAGGCTAGTGGTTCCCAACCTTTGAGCCTACGGACCTCTTTTCAATCTATTAAAATTGTATGGACCCCTCCCCCCCGCCCCCCAAACAATATAGCTGCTTTGTCAGTCCCCACCCCCTCTGTCCCCTGCCCATCCACAGAAGATGCAGCGAGGGGGATCTCATGGCTGCAGGTTGTGAACATGAGAGCATAAAGATCCCTCCTTTTGCCAGGACAGGACCTCCTAAGTGAAGGAAGAGGAAAACCTGTAGAATAGTGAAAAGTTACCTGACGGAAAGTCCCCATCCCATGGTAGGTCTGATCTAAGGATGTTAAGTATTGGGTAATCGACTAATCAAATAGTTGATGCATTTCTGCCCTAGGGCTGTTGCTGCACTTGAAAGGTGAAAGCGCGGAAGGGGTCAGCTGGGGACTGATGCTGGGCTCCGCGCAGCATTCAAAGCGGCAGCGCAGCACTGAGCAGCTGACCCCAGGCTCCATGCGGTGCTGCTGCTTTGAAGTCCCCCCCCCATCTGATAGAGGCAGCAATGGGGGAGGAGGGACGCTACTAGTCCACTTTCTGATAAGAAAATGCTTTTCAGATAGTCTACCAGTCCTTAACATCTCTGCCTTGATCCTTACTTTTAAACTTTGTGGACCCACTACAGTACCATCTGAACCACTAGGGGTCCGCAGACCACAGATTGGGAACCATTGCCCTAGGCAAACAGCATGTAGCTTCTCCTACCTCTACACTTCGGCTACGTCGAGACTGGCAAGATTTAGCACAAATACTCTAAACGCAGGCGGTTTTGCGTTAGAGTACAGGCAGTCCCAGAGTTACGCGGATCCGACTTATGTCGGATCCGCAGTTACGAACGGGGCCCTTCCTCTCCCTGGTCTCCAGCAGACCAGGGAGAGGAAGCAAAGCGGCGGAACACGCGGCCAGCTGACAGCCCAGACGCATCTGGGCTGTCAGGGGACGGAGAGCAGAGCAGAGCAAAGCCGCGGAGCACGCGGCCAGCCGACAG